ATTGCCTTGTCCGGAGCAATATCGATTTCACAAAATCCCGGAATCAATAACTTGTAATTCAGCAGGATTGTCTTTCTGCAAAAGAAACAAAACCGTGGATCAGGTTTTGTTTTGCTTTGCTCCCGTCCTTGGAAAATTGTGTTTCATTGGTATTCTGGAACACAAGATGGCCTTAATTAGACGAATTGGACTAATTCTAACATGATCGGCTTAATTTACGCGGTTCTCCAATACCTAGAACATGGCGGGGGAAATTAGACTCGATTAGGTCTCCTAAATGCCACGTTTCAATGGTGGATTGATGGCCGGGGTCTTAACCGGCAGCCCCTACGTAGCCGTAAAGTGCGTTGGATGTTTCCAAAACTCACCTGCTATCCCCAATTTCGTCACGCCCACATCTGAGAGGTAAATTAAAAGTGTCAGCATTGACCTCTTCTATGGTTAGCAATTCAGGTGCGTATGTGTTGACATTCAGATAATTTCATATGGTACTGGTCTACGCTAACTGTGGATAACTCTGGAGACTCTAATTTGTCTCAACAGGTTATGACAGATACTCGATCGGATGACGTAACGTGTATCACAGAAGCGGTTGGGAGTTACCAGACTAGACAAGCTCAAGATCCATAGGGCCATGATCACTAGCTTCTTCATCCTTGCAATAAGTTCAGTTCTCCTCACTGAACTGGCCTACAATTGCTCACCTACCATGCACTTCAGATCGCCATTCGGTCAAAAGTGAAGTTTGTCTGCTGGTGTAAAAACAACAAGACTTCCGGTATGCATTTTAGGTCTTATTTTCTGAGTGCTGAAACTTACATACACCGTGGGAGATCCTGAATGAACTTTAGTCGTATTGCAAGTGGAATGTTACGTACCGAGAACAGATAATCGAAGATTTGTCACATGTATCTGGGGACAGCGGAAATGCCATTGTGAACAAACCTACTATCTCCAAATGTCGTAAAACTTAAGGACTGTCCTTATGTTTCCGACGGTAGTGTTCTGAAGCCAAAAGGAAGCAGTACATCGTACGATACACATATATCCGCTTTCTGTTGCATTTATCCGGCAAATGCAATGAACCAAATATCTCCATCGAATTGGCTGAGCATCAACCGTCTTGCGCACTGATGAATTACCGGCCAGTTTGATTCACAAAAGGACAAGGGAGAAAACGGAACAGGCTCTTCGGCGTTTCTCAAATATGGCCTACGATCAAAGAATCACAACCCGCCCAATGATTCGTCAGTTTTGGGTAAAAAGTGCATCATACAAGCAATACAATAAGCTTGATTCCAAAATCGCAGGAATAGTCAATCACCAACCTTCTGACCTTTGGAGCTGTCTGGTTGACCTTGCTACTCCAGCACTCTGATCACTGTGTCGGCTCATAAATCGATTTCACCTTGATACTGAGCCTTTTATTCTGAGGTTTTGCGAGTATGATTGGATTACAGTTTGTTCGAGTCAGATGAGTGTTCCAATCGTATCTGGTGAGACTAGAAATTATCAGACTGAATGCTTATGGGTTTCGGTCATGTGACTTCAGGATTCAGGAGAGCCCTACTCGAAACATTTTTGTGGCCTAAAGACAGTCATTGATAAGATGTTAATGTGAGAAATGCCTAATGCAGCGGTTCGCAACGCCTACACACTTACGGAAGTTTACATGTAGTACTGGTGCTCGACGATTTACTCAAATTCGTCGTATTAGCTCAGTGGATCGGCGTCCGGAGTAGCCGAATGTGTAACCATCTCACACCAGATTATTTTGAAACGACTGGGAAATGCAATTTCAAAAGTCAAAAGTGAAGTGTATCCATATTGACGAGCGCAATCATTTTCAAATCAACCGGGTTTTCACGGGAGACTCACATAAATTTCACATACGAGAGATTCGGTTGAGCCTCCCATCAAAACCCAGTTGGTATGTAAATGAGTCGAAATCAGTCCAATTCGGGTTCAAGTAGAATATAGGGTTGACGAAAACTCGCGGACCGCGCCCACCTGATGAGTTCGAACAAGGACGAAACCGGTCGTGGGCTGTAAAAGCGTTTTTAGCAGCCCTGTGAGTAGTTCGTTTTATGAAAGTGCGTCCATACTTCCAAATCCAACTTAACTAGGCGCTAACGAGCGGTGCACTCAAATAACATTTTAATACAACTGGAAAATGTTTGGGACCGGTTGGGAAGTCATCGTTTCAGAGTGGTTTGGTAAACAATCAATGGATTTATTTCTGGGCAACGTTTCGCTTTTGACACAAAAGCTTCGTCAGGCCAAGTGAGTAAGTAGGTTGACTGGGTTTTTAAGGCAGTCAGGGAACCAATCGTGAGATTCCTTATGACTAGTGACGTGATCAGTGCTGGGTGTTAAGTCTGATGTTCCTGTTTGGTGATTAGTGGGGATGACCAAGCTTTACGATAGATCGGTTAGGGGGGTTCGTCTGTGTGATGAACCCGGATTTTTTCGTCCCTGCTTCTTCAGTCTAGGACCCCTTAATGGAAAATTCCTCTTGGGGTCGTTCACAGATTTCGTTCACCTGTGTTCGTCCAAGGGTGCTGGGACATTCAGTTTGGGGATGGGAGTGGGGTGGTTAATTGGATCTAACGCTACTTGGATTTTTGTACTTCTAGACCCAAGCGATTTCGCTGATAACTGCACACCGCCTCGTGTTATCTCGGCTGATCTAAGACCGCTCTCCACACGTTTGCAAGTTCTACCCCCTCTATTCTATTCACACTGAGATGCTTGGCGATTTCCACCGCCTCGGCCACCAGTCGCTGTGGTGTGAATCTTAAGCCCCGTCTCAGGATGTCCACATTTTCTAAATCTATCCTATGCCCAGTGTCTAGAGCATGCCCTGTCATTGCTGAATCTTTGACTAACGCTTGGTATTCCTCTGCGTTTTTCGGCGGTTTGTTAATGGATCGCTTATGCTCACCGATTCTGGTGTGCAATTCCCTGGCTGTCTGACCTATATAAACCCTCGTACAGTCGTTACATTTTATTTTGTATACACAGTTCCTAGTCCTATCAACCGGAAGGCGATCCTTCAGCAGCCTTGAAAAGAGTGTTGGTTCGGGAGGTTTTATTTATTGTTGTTCTGGCTAAGACCAAATTTTTTGGACGTCGTTGCTCAAAATCATGGCGAGTCACACAAGGACAGCATTAGTGTTAAAATTCGTCACTAATATCGTTTTGAGCTTAACGGACCTCATTCAAGCGTGCTTTCACCAGAACTTGAAATTCATTTACGTATTCATACGTATCCATATTCATGTATAGTCCATAAGAAATTATTACACAATACGCATAATTATCATGTGCTATAATCTATACATATATTCTACCTGCACATTTATTGATTTATTAGCGTACGTTGAAATCTCTGCTTGTGGTTCTGAAAAGTAATTTTTGATGTGTACTTTGTAGGTGCTCCTTTAGTTCAGATTGTTAAATTTTGGGGTAGTCTTTATGGATTCCTCATCGTTGGCGATGTTCCTTTTGTCCTAGTACCAAAATAGAAAACCATTTTCCAAGAAGCATAAGCTACTTACTTATCCAGGACTTAACACTCGGAACTTAACGTGTGGTTGTGAATAGGTGGCGCATAGCCGAAAGCAACAAGTTTCAAGAACTGTCGTTGAGAATAACTAAACAAACTTGTGGTCACCAAATAACCCTTAAGTGGCTCCTCCATCACACGACACGCACGCTCAGTAGTGGTCTAAATCTACCTAACATCTGCTTTCATATTGGAGGACTTCACCGATAAACAGTATGAGTGAGTGTGCGATCAGGCAGCTAAACGTCCATCGCTGAACGCAGGCCGTACAAAATGACTGGTTGGTATTGTCAAACAGCCGGTTCCATTGTGATGCTGTCAGTTGCCGATTGTGATCAAACTCGTCCTTCTAAACCTCAGAGATCGACCAAAGGCACGTCTCCAACGTAAACGAAGCAAACCGAGGTCGAAGTAAATTATAGACAGCATGATATGAGCCACAGAATGGAGACACGTATGACTGTCAAAATCAACAACTACGAGATTTACAGAGGTGAGAACCGACAACCATGTGTACGGGGTCAAGTGAGTTTACATTCTTCATGTTGTCCAAAGCATCGGTGGCCCACATTCCGGAACCAAGTGTGAGACACCATTGTCAGGTAGCTTACAGGAAACAGACTGCAAAGCCAGACGTTAGATGAGAACTATGTTTAATCCACCTGCTCCCAGTAATGCTTATTCCACTGGTTCCTTTGCTAAAAATAAGAATATTAAGGACCAATGATATGAGGATAACACTAGCACCCGAATGATTGCATCTCGTGACCTGGAAGATGAAATCAAACCTAGAGACCAAATGCATTACTCACAAGGTCGCTGAAAATTCTTCGACAACCCACGGCCGCTTCCGCCCTTCTTGGGGCTAATCATGTAGGCGCAGTCCCCGAGTTTCCGTTAACCTTATGTTCTGCTTGAGGCCAAATTGTACCAAATTGCAAACAGATTTGGTTTCTCGGGAGACTCACCTAGAACCCAGCTGAATATCTCACTTATGATGTTTTTAAAATGAGTGAATTTCGATAAAATTAAACCTTTCTGACATTTCGAGGAAGAGCGAACCAATAGACTGTTCACGCCCAGCCAAGCTCGGAAGCTCACCTGCCAGGAGCACAGGAGTGCTAACTAGAAGATGGAGTTCGACGGCTCATTTTTTCTTTGTGCGTGGCCTCCCCACCCACTCAGTGCACGAGCTACGTATCGGCCGCGTGTTTTGTGTGCTTCATAGCCACTCTCGGCCTGGAAAAGACCGGTGGCGGAAATAGCACCGACTTCCATGTGAATCAGCGTCTGGCCAGACACCCTTGAACTCAGATAGATACCAACCATTCTGAAAAACATGGTCGATTATAGGCTATCCAACACTGTCTGACTGAGCAACCATCGCCATGAATACAAACATTTATTCCATGAAAATTGACAATGCACAAAACGAACGTACCAACTGATTGACAATTAAGATGCGTAGAAAAACAACACAAGGGAGAAGTGTAACACGGCCACTTATTGTGTGGGGTTTAAAAAGTGGAGCATTTCTAAGCCACGTATTTGCTGGGCGAGAATTAATGACGTAGGATTCAAACGGTCAAGGGAATCGCAAAAGGCGACCCACATTCTCGTCACATTGTCAGCGAATTGTGAGACTAGGAAATAAGTGCGCAGTTGGATTAAAAAATACGTATTCGAGGAAACGCTTAAAAAGACCTGAGGTATTGGAGTACAAAAGTGAGATCGTTTTAACAGGTGAAACCTGAACGTGGGCAAAGGATAAAAAATGGACAAAGTTGTCAGAGACCAGTATCCCTCAGTGAGCGGAATAAAAAACGGTACATAGGTATCATACTTCACAAGGTGGATGGTATACTCTCTTCACGGTAGATTCGCGCTCACCAGCCTCTTCAGCTGGCCTTGGTGCAGGAGCTGCCCTCTGTTCAGGTCGTGTTGCACGGTCTGGAGGAGTTTGTTCTCCTGATCCATCAGGCTCATTAAGTCCTGGAGGACTAGAACGTATGCGGCTGATGGGATACATTTCAGTGTAGTCGATTGTTTTGGCAGACTTCATGATCACAGGACTTCCACCAGTGGTGACAGGATAAGGTGCTGTTGGCAGAGGTCGTTGACGCACCGTTGCTATCCCACCCTGCTCAAGAGGCGCACTCATAAATCCCCCGTGATTCTTGTCTACAATCTCGGCCGGCATGTCACCAGAAAGATGGTTTAAACGCGGCACGTATTCACTCAAATATTTCGGTGGTTTCGGAACAATTGGTGGGCCACGGAAATCCTTATCCATGTAGTGTTTCTTATAGTCAGCAAACAAGCAACACACAATCTCAACAGTGACCAGGTCACCTGCATTCATGGAAATCATCCGTAATATGAAATGACCGTCCTGCCTGAGGAATTCAGAGATGAAGCGATCCACCAATAGTGCCATTTTTGGGTCATCTCTGTCAAATACGTCTGCGATTTTGAGGAAGCGTCGAACAAAATGACGCTGACGTTTCTTCATTCCCATTCGGCTCATCCACAGAGGAATACTAATCAGGGTGATCAACATTACCGCACCCAGAAAGAAGAACAAGAATACGTAGATTTTTTCGTTTAGCATATTGATTGGCAAAACACACTGAGCAAACAATCTGTTGCTGGCGCCCACATGTTGCAGTGTGTGTCTGCACATGCCCACTCTGGGGAATATTTGTGTCTCAGTCCACGGTTTCCCATGGATGATATCTTGCAATATGCGAAAACCGAAGAACAAATAGCCTTCACGGGCGTCGAATCGCAGGAACAGGTACATCATATACAGCTGACAAATTCCAATTATAGCGTATAACAGCTTTACAGTAATGTAGACGTAGACAAGATTGTTTCCGTGGCGTTTTCCTGGTATGATTGATGAATGTCGTAGACGATCAGCAAGGCTACCTGACCCACCACGATATTCACGTCGACTGAATAGGAGGATTTCTAAAGTGCGCGCAATGTGTTGGACCATCTTGGAACGTTTCTCCCCCTCCTCCTTGGTAATTGAATTGGCGGTTCGAACGAGATTCTGTAGATCGGTACCCGTGCGGTTGTAGGTGAATATGCTCCAGAAAATCCGTGGCAGATAATATAAGATAGCTTGCAACCCCAAAACCAATGGAACCCACTGATAGTAATCTGTGGATAGAGGAGAAGAGTGACCGTGAGTTACTGTGGATGAGGCTGGGGTTGTGCATGTATTTGTAAATTACGCAATAGGCAGTCACGCGATAACCTATTTGAACAGGATACGGAAGCAAACAATCCAACACACATTCGATATAAGCAGTCGTTCTAGGCTGATGGCCTATAGCCAAAACGGTCAAATTGATGTCGCAGTCTGTCTGAAGAGTGTGTGCTAACAGCGAGCAAAATCTAGGGCATCCGGGTTTTGACAGAGCTACTCGAATGGTCACTACATCTACAAAAAGTACACGAGGAAGAAGAACGAAGTGGAACCGGAGCAGAAATGTCTGCGAGTCAGTGTTATGAACGTGCTACGAACCAAAAATGAATAAAGTGGCAGAATATTCAGGTCACCGGCTTGAGTCCAGGGTGGGAAAAGAATACGATGCCAAAACTGGAAAGACAGAAAATGGTGGACTCAGCACAAAACAATGGTTGGTGATAAGGGTTTAACTTCTTATACGAGTGATTTTAATAAATTCGTTAGGCGCCTAACAGCAGTAGCCTGCGTCTAGAGCAAATTGAATTGCTATACTGATACAAGAATTCGGCACAAGTCTGATGCTTTTCAAAAGGGTGCATTAGAAATTCGCTTCACGGAAGAGAAGGAAAATCTTGACGGCTGTATTCTAAGAACAGGTACTCTTGCATTTACCGAGATTGAGTGTTGCTATGATCCGACGTATCATATTTCGGACTTCAGTCAAACTAACAAAAGATACCCGCAATATTCCATCAATTGTGACCACCAATTGTGATAAGTTGCGGAATTCGTTGCATTTTCATTCATATCAATCTCTTCCGAACAGTCCTCAACTTCAGCCCCAGCACAATCACCCTCTTTGGACCATGGCTTACTCACTTAATTGAGCACTAACAAGAATAATTGTACTGGGATGAGGAAAGGAATCTTCAACCGAGAGTGAAAATAATGCAAATACAGGCAAATCGGAAGAAAAGTTGATGCGAGCTTTGGATACGGTCCAAACATCCGTCGAAGTATTTGCATCAAGGAGAGTCTGGCTAGTGCATGTAATGTCTCACTATCGCACGGAAAATTAGTTTTGTGGGGAAAAAAGGCCTTGCATGCCACTTTAATCAACGCACAATTCCACGAAATAATAATAAATGCATTCTTTAGGGAAGGGTATGATGTTCTCAGTTAAATAGCTTATCGTCAAGGCCTTGACAAAACAATTCAGGTCTAACCCAGGAAGGCGGCTCTTTCACAGGTTCTTCAGCGAACACAAAGCAAGAGATGGACTAAAGCACTTCTTGAAAATACCGAATTTGGTTCTACAACCACCACATAGCAGAATATGGACAATAAAACGGCAAGTGGGTTAAATAAATAGGTTATCAATTTCCTCTTACGGACTTACTCATCTGATGTGGTCTCATTGCATCCCACTCCTCCATCCTGTGTGGTACGATACCCGAGGTCAAATTGATTGGGAAGGTACCCTCGATCCAGCATAGGTTTGTGATATAAGAGTCTGCATTTACGCCGCTCACCGTTGTGGGTAGGTAGCACACCAGTGGGGTCATAAAATATTGTCGCAGAGTGACGAGAACCATACAGATGAGTATAATGATAACGTTCCACTGGAAATTGGCCCGATCAGCCAAGTCTTCAAACCCCACATAGTTACAGGCAGAAAAGGTTTGAATGTAACCGAGAAATTCGCTGGCAACCATGTTGATGCGTTACTTCGTTGCAGCTGAAAAAAAGCAAAATGATTAAATCGCGTTAGGCAGCGCTTTACCTACGACAGCCCTACCGTCATAAAATTACAGTGGCGGTCAGAATCTCTAAGTAGATGGCACGACGGCATTTGGTACTGAGCACCGGGACCCTGAACTTCAATCCCTAAGGCACACTGATGATATTCTCTCGACTGGTGATGAAACGTCCACAATCGAGCTGTCCGGTCCAGAAAACAAACCAATAAGAGTATACAAACAACCGTGAAGTCGAGCGCAGATACAGTACCAAGGGAGAGGGGACTTTCTGGTCTCTCCTAGTGACTACTCACAATAGGTCACGGTCAACAATGTGACCAATGACTCTCTCTCTTCAGAGTTCCCTGTTGGGAGGTGAACCACTTTAAATCAAATATGTTCACAAGCAATCTAATGTGGTTAGGGACAAAATGTGGCAATATGCGCTGTACCACTTTAATGTGCCGGAAAAAATTTAAAGGCACGTAAGGCGTTGCGTTTCACTTTCTTCCGCCATATAAGCAACTATTTTGTGCACCTCTCAAATGACGGTTTTGTCTACCTTTGTTCATCCGAATGCGTTCCTGAAGGAAGTCGGGTTGTTTGAGCAGAGAAAACATGCACCAAGTGCAATTGAAGGTCGCTGTAGGTGACGCACTCCCAAATACGTTACGACTACCCGCAAACACGACGCACAGAAAGGTAAGCCTATAATTAGACAGTATTTGAAAGTCACGCTAACGAGTCATCGATCAGCATGATGCAGTGATGAACTGTTAAAAAACAACGAGCTTATCGGCCAGGTCTAGGTGAAACGCATGTTTTGAACCGACATAGAGTAGCCACTTTTTACTTCTTTTTTTAATGAGAACTAAAAAGTGGCTACTTAGAAGTAGGCGGGGAGTGATTGATACATTAGACAAACAGGGCGATTCGCCAACGTATTGCACAGAGATTTCCATTACCTAATCCGGGTATCCAAAGTACGAACCGTTCCTACTTCACATCAGAACTGAAGAATTTTAATCACCCTTCCATCAGACATAGAACCTGTCGAATTAGCAGACGGTGCCCATTAGTTCAGAGCATATGAGGTCCAACTGGAATGAGCCTGAAAACTACCAACTCGAAGAAATCTTTTTCGGAATTTCAAGTGGGTGCAAGCACTCCCGAAGCACACTTGACTACCACTTCCACCACAAAGCCAGTTTATGCCATTCTATCCCATACACCCAAGCTCCGACAGTTTCTAACTGCTTTGCAGAGCTTCGTTCTGAATTCCGCGAATTTCTTCCACACACTTCATTTCGGTGGTCATGGGCTGTTAAATCCAACCAAGTTCATGAACGCAAAAGTTGACCTTGAGGTGTTTCTCACATGGAAAGATAAACCGGAACTAATTTCATTTTCTTCAGTGCCCATAGTCCTGATGATCCAGTCGGAATGAACCGGAACTAATTTCATTTTCTTCAGTGGTTCGAAGTGAATCCAATATTGCCCATAGTCCTGATGATCCAGTCGGAATAGTTAAGCATCAGGAAAGGACTATCAGTCTTAAAATTCCAAAGAACACCCTCCTCATCGGAATAACACACCCGGCGGGAAGCTCACATCTACACAACTCAGTAATTCTTGGATAAAAGCGCTTGAGTGCTTACCTATGCCTACAAAAACGTACTGGGTTTCTTCCCAGTCCGAAAAATATAATTTGCCATCCCAGAATCCTCTGGAATGCAGTCTTGAAGGTGTTGCAACTGAACCACAATTAGAACTTACTGACCTGTTAAAAGGCAAAAGTGAGGCTTTGTTGATTTCACTGTCATGCAGTTGAGTAATGTTATGTGGTTGAGTGATTAGCTTGCTTGCAGACGGCAGCTGCGTTTGGGGGTCTGCCATTGTAAACAAATTATTTCGGTGAATAGATGCACCGTGTGTCATACAAATTCACCTAAGAAGCTCATCACTAGTATGTATACAAGTGAGTTGGAAGCTTCTGAAGAAGTTTGGAGATGTATCTGACTGTCTGATTTATTCGAATATCTTAGTGAAGGTCATTTGTGACCTCGTCATACCAGACAAGTTGCACTATCAAAGCAAGGGACTTTTAAAGCATGCCAAAGTATATCCATCACATGCTACCATCTGTCAAGCTTTCTCAACCGACCACCCACCTGAACATTGCCTAATGGATTCACAGTGTGGTAGGACAACTAACAGACACGGTGTGGAGGATGATACACTTGGCGGCGTTGAAAATCTCGAAAATAATGGTCATATTTCTTCGACGAGGCACCAGCTGCGCTCCGACGCCAGTTGTGGCTAGTATAGTTCCTGGATCGAGACGACAAAGAGTGTACCATTTCAAGCGTTGCACTTCGAAGGATTTATGCATCCACAGTGCATCCTATGAGCACTTTGTTCATCAGAACACGCGCAACCACCAAATCACCATCCATAAAAGCAGTGTAGCGAGTATACACAATGCCCGTCGGCTGAGTTAAGCGGCATTTCGGAATCGCAAGTACGATACGGTAACACAGTCTTCATACTCACTAATTCAGCGTGCTTCTTTACAGCGCGTCTGTTTAGTGCCTATCCGTAATATAACCTCAAACGGCAGAATGCAGTTAGGCGGCACGGTGAGGGACAGAACGGCAAACTGGGCTATAGCGACCGACCGATGCGTACGATAAACATGCTTTGGTGTGGTTCCAGGTCCTCGGCTTGGAGGTAAAAGTTTTCTGGCGTAAAGAACCATTGGAGAAGCTAAGTGTTCAAATCCCGGTATGAATTTTGGTATGACTACTTGGAATGAACAGCCCATGTGCATGTTCTGGTGGAGAATGCACATAAAATCTTTCCCTACCATGCTGGGTGATCATTACCACTTAAATTTATCAATTTAGACTACAAACTAATGGGTTACACCCTTCATATTAATCATTTCTTCTAAGCCAACTCAACGGTGCTTCACGTCTATCAAAGGTTCATTGGTCAAGTGTGTCTATCCTAATGCAGTAGAGTTTCTACTATGATTTGGAAGACAAGCGCATTCGGTGAAACTCGAAAAGTTGCTGCATTCGTGAGGTCCAAAGGACATACCTCTTGGCACTGACAGGTGAACTCGCCTGCTCTGTAGATGCAATGTTATATAAACAGGATACCGTACTTGATATGCAAGCAACACAGGAAGTCAAACTTGTCGTGTAAATATAATTCAGCTTCATGTTTCATCCTCGGCTGGGGGGATTTTTAGAAAGAACTTGTGAGGTTTCACAGAAGGGTGCTCCAGAACGGCTTTACCCAGAAGTAACCATCCAAAAGTGTTCCTTCCTTTTCAGCTCAAAGTGACTGAACTTGTGAACCAAAATTGCTAGATACTCTCTTACAACATTTGTCTCTTCACGGGAGATGACCGCATCTGTATCGCCTCGGCCATAGACCCCGAAAGCTGCAGCGGCAATTCTTCAGTCTTGGATCAAATTCTATACCACTGAGCTGAAGAAAAACACCTCCGAGAATCCGGCGAACATTTTGCCTTTCCTCTGGGAACAATTACAGTGTCCGGGATTAGACGCGAATCAATAAACACGTGATTAATGGCCGAGTGCTTAAGACCATGTCTACCCTAGGCAAATGGAGTCGTATTCTGTTCCAGACAATGCCACTCCACCCGTCTGGTTTGTTGGCGCATTAGTGTGACGGGAAAATCTAGACCGTTATCAACTGGATGGGCGAAAATCAACGCCGACTAAATTTTTACAATGTATCTAAGTGCGGATGAATACCAAGGTCTCGTCACTACAATGAGATAAAAAAAAACGGAAAAATACAAGCCACTATTATTATCTGTGAAGTTGAAAGATGCATTTTGTTAACATATATTTATGTTGAGTCAACTGCAATGGATATACAGACGTCCATGAAAGGCAAACAAAGACATTCTCTACGTCCAGACGTTCATCGTGTGCATGCCGGAGATACAGAAAATGTTGGAGATACCGATGTCAACTATCTGTCCAACAGATTTCCGAAATTTGGACATTCCGCTGCAGCACCCTCATGGGGCAGTTACGGTGTGCCAGAAGAAAATACGAGGTTCGAAATCCTACCAGGTAGGCAAGAATGATGAAAAGGACAAAGGCAGGTTCCGACCAAGAACCTTTCAGTCAACAGCCCAAACTTCAGCTCTTAAGCTAATGCGAGCTAAGACCGCATGATAACCGACGATTTGTGATCATTCCATTTAACTCACATGGTAGCCGGTAGGCTGATAACGCCCCGGACTTCGATTGTCAGTTCGATTAGATGGGATAATAAGAGACGGAAAAAGATCGAAAAAAGATTCTACGGACCATTAACCCGCCTGTTCGGTTGCTCTCTGAAACAAAAAAATGGCTTATCTGCTGTGTCCCCGGGGGTTGTATAAGATCTACAGGTGGAACTCATGAACCACTGATCAAAGACAAACTCAATGTAATTGAGCATTAAATTACGGGGCAAACGAGCTCCGTGGACTGGTTACTAACTGACAGGACATCTTATCCTTAATTAGTCCCCAAATGTCCTCCAGCAGGTGGCCCGAAATGCGTTGCTTGCGTTCGGCAAAGGTCAGACCCAAGCACTCTGGGTGGCAGAGGAGCTGAGCTTGATTAGAATGATCGAACGCATTACACCCTAAACGACGCTTGGAGTAATTTATAATTTAGGGTAAAAGAACAGACGAACAAGGAGTGTGAATATCGGTTAATGTTGTTTTTTAGACCACGAATAATAAACTAATGTGAAACAGATTCTACAGCTCCAAAAGCTTGGTGGTCCTAATTCAGTTTGAATGTTTATTGTTCCTCTTGATATTCACCGACTGAGCTCGAAACCACTAGCTTTCTTCAAACAACATATAGGCTTATGAGCAACTAAAATGTCCCTTGCTGTACTTCCAAATTTGAAGTCAAGAGGAGATTTCAGCAATAAGATATTAAGCTACTTTTCATTATGAAGGAATAAATAAGACCTATTCGAACAGACCGGAAAATGAGGACATGAACTCGTCTCCTCATAATTTTATAATGTCAAAGCCTACCCACCTGAATTTTTCATGCTTTTTCCACCAAAATGCCACTTTTCATCTTCCTGAGACAAACCGTCTGAATATGATAGTTACTCAAGTTGGAATGAAGCTCTTGAGGTCGATCGACTTAGGCCCCGCGATACCATCGATTAGTCTAGGAGTCAGCCAAAACGAGTTTGCTGCATGAACCTACACTCCTGCATGACCGTGACCCATACTGTGCGCTCATAACTGCAAGTGGCATGCAAGTACTTGCACGGTGGGACGATGGCAATTTCTCAACACAGTTAATTAAGGTGATTCCCACCTGGCTTAGATAGAGACCATAAGAAAAAAATCGCTAACCTGGCGGTTGGGGCTGAAAACAGTGACTGATTCTAGCACGATTCCGTAAAAATTACTTACCAAGCTGTAAAGATCTGGAGCTGCGGGTTTCGCTAATTTTACCGGGGTTCTGAACCCTATTCCTGAAGATCTCTAATATATCCATCATTTGGTAAAATGTTATATATGTGCTCCAAGAAAACAGCCGATTCCGTTCTGAAATATCTGGTCTATTCGGGGTCCTGAGCTAGACATCTAAACAGTGATTGATTTATTCCTGGAAAAATGTTAGCCACAATTCTACAGTGGAAGTCGAATTTCCTCAGTTTTTTTCTGTTAATACCGGAATAAGTGAAATTACTGAGAAAACCACGACCAACGCCCATTCCAAAAAGATGACGTATCTGTGTTTATTCTAAGCTCAAATACAGTTCTTCACATCGTCATTAAAACATGCCAGTGATACTTTTGTTCGAACAACATGCCAGTCTGTGCCTTCGTCACCCACAATTTTGATCAAAATGAATATTTATGTCAGTTGGTACGCAGTAGAGGCAGAACAACTGAGACTGACTGCGAGCAGACTGTGCGTGGAATTGCTCGAAGTTGCACACGAATTAGACGGCGTTCGGAAGAACTAACTGAGCAACGGAGTTGCTCAGTTAAGCAACACTGGGTTCCTCGTCGGTAGATTAGGTTTATATACTGACCAAAACGCTATCCCAAGCATAGTAGACCTAAACTGAGTCATTATCCATGGCAGCAACCAATTAGAGTTTTCCCGGCGTATCTGCAGGATGTCGTTCCCATCAGAATCGCTCTTACTGATTAGCAACACTGTTGGTACAGACCGTTCTGAGACTTTGTTGTAGCCTGAAAGACTTAACCGGATTGATTTCCACAAGTAGTAGGACAAATTATAACCAGCTGCACAGAGCGCTTTCGGTTCGTCTAAGTGTCCTTGAACTGATCATCAACAGAAGCCAACAACTTCGTTCTACCCATTCGAGTGGTCGCTGTAGATAAGGAAAGGACCAATAAGTAAACGACAAAAAGAACTTCTTAACTCTACATGGCAAGAATACAGTGGTTGCGCAGACCAGTAGAAAGAAAACCTGAATCAACCAGATGACTGCTCAAACAAAATCGAGCATATAATGAGTAAGGTTTGCCTGACTCACGCGAACAGGAGCGGTGAACAATCTGAAGTCTAAACAAGGGCAGGTAATCCGACCTCCGAGACGGGTATGAGAGGTGAACTTCTAATTATTGAACTGAATTTACTCCAACGCAGAGTAGTGTTGCAGGCATAATGGCCCTATTTTTTTGCACCGAATTCAACGCTACGACCAACTGCCACACAGTGGCACTCAAGTCTTGGTGCTACTTCAGACTGAACCCTAGAACGGCCGACTATAGAAGTCCGCACGGAATTAGAGCTCTGTGTGGTTTACAGAACAAGTCCACCCACTATGCACAAGCGACATGGTTTTGTGTACAGCATCAATAACAGTTGCCGTTTTGAGGTCATTTAGGGACGGCTCGTATTCATGCGGGTGTACACATTGGTCGTGTGTGGTAGCGAGTTAGAAGCACGGGTGCATATACGTACGAACTGCAGGACAGTGGTAGACTGTCGTTTAGCCGTGTGCGTACCAACGACGTAGAAAGCCGACGGTCAAGACCACGCGAAATTGCCGAGCTAATAAAGGCGTGCCGGCAACGGTGGATCAAATTTCCGGTTGACCGAAAGGCACGTAAATTCCAACGATTCAATGAGCAACCGGTGGCATCTGCTTACCATTACTGTACATATCACTTTCATAGTATGAAAGGTAGCGAGTCCCTGCAACACTGATAGTCATTGGAATGCCCCCTTTAACCCCCAGGGTTCCGCGATGAAGTTGAGGTTACTGTTATAAGTCGTTCCTTCCTGGCCACAGACTAACTCAGAAATGTGGAACACCATACAATACAGAGACCCATACCGCAAAAGATGACAACACGAAATGGTCTGTGTAGCTTTGAAAGTCATGTTTTACGCAATCTGCACTAATTAAGACCAAGCGAGATATCAGTGGAGAATTAAGTATCTAGATTCAGTAGCCTTTGAAACACAGAAGCGAAAATTAACAATGAAAAGAAAAACTGTTTTAACCGCACAGCAGAGATAAAAAAGAGCAAATCAACTACGAAATCAGGTGACGGGCTGTGTTTCATGACTTCATAAATACCCCGCCAAGAAACGTAGATGCGTAAATAAGCTTTGCTTTTAGCATATCGCACGCGCTTTGTTTCCAAGACTATAACCAGGTAGCTACAGGTTGCTTGTTAGACGTTAATCTAATTAAATCAGCTAGTGTTTCGACAGCAAACTACCGATAAAGTGTACGGCCAGTGAACTTGCCTGATCCCATGATTTACTAAGGAATGGAATGTGGCAACTTTCACGCTAAGTTTATGTGCGTTTTAATCGGCATGGAAAATTCCTTCACGCTGATTGAGACGTGGCAACAACAAGAATGAGCCTGCTAACCTCCATCCATATTTTTGGCATTTTTCTTCTTTTTGTTTCAGTGTCTGCTATTTTCAATGGCGTGCATAATTGATCCGACCTCTGGAATTCACCGCATTAGATAACACAGCAGTCTACACGTAAGGTAGGGGGTTGTCGAAATCCAACTTTTGAATTTCGTTCTGCAGTTGCACTTGAGAACAGTCTAGATACATGAGCAACATGAGTACAGGAGTAATATAATGGCCGGGAAATGTTGTTCGTATGCGCTCCACGATCGCTAGGGCTACCTAAAACAGTCATGATTCGGTCTCGAGCTGAGTGCCACCAGGACTTGCACGACGGTGAATAACTTGGAATTGGATATGGTATTGAATCACAATCCTCATATCACTTAGTACACATCAAGAAATCCAGTGTTGCCTAAATCATCGGGCGTCGACTTCTCACAGAAAGGCCCAGTTACCCGCAAGGTGTTTTCATTTCTGATAAAACCAGTTGTGTCAACTCCATCGTCCTGATATTCGTAGCGCACAGTAAAGGTGGACGCTGTCCAGTGGTCCAGCAGTGACGCCCACTTGGTGCCTAGCTGCCATACCATCTGAAGGAGGCAAGAGGGCTGCGATACTGCCAGGTCACGCAAACCTAGAAAGAAGTCGAGATGCATAGGTCGGGTTCGAAACACGGACCTTCTGGTCAGTAAGTTCGCGCTCTAAACACTGAGCCATCTCGCCATCGCCGCCCAATACACTTTATCATAAAAAAACCGCCAGAATGTTCATCTTGATTTCGCAATGTTTCCCGATAAATGAGGACTTCTATAATGAGATTGATCCCTTCAGGCTCTTTTTACTAATGATAGCCCTTTGGACAAAACAACTAAAACTCAACTATAGATTGTTCCGATTATCAGATTCGCCCATACATGACTTAAGCACATTGTGAAACTTATTATGAACTTAGCGAATATACACTCGTTCGCAAACTAATTTGGTTTTTCCGAGAGACTCACCTGAAACCCAGCTGAACCTCTCGTTTATTATGTTCTCTCACAATCTACTTGCAAGTCTCGTCGCAAAACTTCGACTCATAGCCGCTTGGAAATCTCGAGAACATCTCTGAGAACATCACAAACGAGAGATTCAGCTGGGTTCCAGGTGAGTCTCTCGAAAGAACCAAATTAGTTTGCAAATAAGTGTATATTC